GAGAGAGAGAAAGAAAGCAAGAAAAAAAGAAAGTCCAAGAAGAATAATCTTTAAAAGACCTAAAGTCAAATCTTAGGAATCCAATGCCCAAAGATGGAAAGGAGTAGGAGGGAGCCACAGAAGATGAGCTACCAGAAACACAGGAAAAAACATGGAAGTGAAGAGAAAAAAAGTTCTCCTAGGAAGGATTTCCTGCTCAGCTGAATGCTTCTGCAAGGTCATGTCCTGGAGACTATCTCCTTTTATCGTTTCTGTCTCTCAGAATGGTACCCTCCCCTTCAAAGCCCAGGTAAGATGGCATGACATGAGCAATCACTCTCAGGGCTCCTTCACGACTGCTTATCCCCAAGATGTTGGTACCTTTTCTCAATCTTCATTCTTTTGATTCCCTATTACTCTGTAACATCAGGAATTTCCTGATCCTTTGTGACAGTCCCTCTCTTTTCCAGTAGGGTTTCATTGATATAGGCTTTTTAAATTGTTTTCTATTATTGAAGAACGATATTCTTCTTTCTTTTCCATCCCATAAATATCTCTTTCCTACGGTGTCCTTGAACCTTTTCTTTTCTTACTTTGTAATGTCATTTATGTGCAAAGCTTCAAGGATCATTCTGTGCCAGATTTCAAAACCCAAATATCATGCCAAACCCAATCTTTCTCAAAATCAAGCTCTCGTTCTCAAATTCCTGCTAGACTTGACTACATCCGTCACACTGACATTTAAAAAACCATTATTTGCAAAAACAAACTCTTCACCTTTACTCTAAAACCTTCTCTTTTTCATTGTTGTATTTTTTATTTATGCCACAAACATCTTGCCACTTGAACTTTTAAAGTCATTTTTTAGTCTTTCCCTTTACCCCAGACATGCAGTAAACGTATTTCTATTGAACTTCCTAAACATGTCTCTCTACTTTTCATTTCCATACAATCTCTTAACTGTTTTCTCCACCTCTCATTTCTCCCTGCTCCAACCCATTCTAAACATTTTCTGCTAAAATTTCAATTTCTAAAACCAATACAATTTCAATGTACACTGCCTTAAAAACCTTTCATAAGTATTTCCTTGCTTTAAAACAGGAAACAGAATTCTTAACCCACCACCTAAGGTTTTTTTAATTCATTCAGTGCATATCTATTGAGTGACTACTACTGTATACCAGTCACAGTGCTTGGATTCAGCAGTAAGCAAGACATAGACAGAGCCTACATGATTTTTACATTCTAGCAGGGAAACCAGCGAACAAGTAAATTTAATCAATATATACTATTTAAGATATTGATATCATCTATAAGTAAAAATGAACAGAGTACAAGAATCCTAAAGCTCAAGAAATAAAATCAAGAATTAATAGATGGGATGGACTCAAACTAAAAAGCTTCTTCTCAGCAAAAGAAACAATCAATGAGGTGAACAGAGAGCCTACATGTTTGGAAGCAAATTTTTGCCACACACACATCAGATAGAGCACTAATCTCCAGGACATATAAAGAACTCAAAAAACTTAACACCAAAAAAAAAAAAAATCAAACAACCCAATCAATAAATGGGCTAAGATAAAAATTTGATCAACACATACATTAAAAAATGTTCAACATCTCTAGTAATTAGAGAAATGCAAATCAAAACTACTCTAAAATTTCATCTCACGCCAGTTGGAATGGGAGCTATTAAGAATACAGACAACAATAAATGTTGGTAAAGATGTGGGGTAAACGTTACACTCATACATTGCTGGTGAGACTGCAAATTGGTGCAACCAATCTGGAAAGTAGTATGGAGATTCCTCAAAAACTTGGAATGGAACCACCATTTGATCCAGCTATCCCACTCCTCAGTCTATACCCAAGGGACTTAAAATCAGCATACTATAGTAATGCAGCCACATCAATGTTTACAGCAGCATTATTCACAGTAGCTAAACTGTGGAAGAAACCTAGATGCCCTTCAATAGATGATTGGATAAAGAAACTGTGGTATATATACACAATGGCATATTACTCGGCATTAAAAGAAAATTAAATTATGGCATTTGCCAGTAAATTGATGGAGTTGGAGAATATCATGCTAAGCGAAGTAAGCCAATCCCAAAAAACCAAAGGCCAAATTTTCTCACTGATAAATGGATGCTGATCCATAACAGGGAGGGGGCAGACACGGGAAAAATGGAGGAACTTTGATGGGCAGAGAGAATGGAAAGTAGAGAGGGTGCATGGTGGCAGGAAAGATAGTGGAATGAGACGGACATCATTACCCTAGGTACATGTATGACTGCACGTGTGGCACCAAGCTACATCATGTGAAACCCTAGAATTGTAAAGTTGTGTTGCAATTGTGTATAATGAATCAAAATCCTTTCTGCTGTCATATATACCTAATTAAAATAAATTAACTATTTTTAAAAAGAAAAATCTTTTAAAAATGAGCAGAGTAAAGATTTAGGGAACAATTGGCAGGGAAAAATCTTAAATAAGGTGATCAGGGATAGTCATTTTTAGATTTGTTTTTATTTTTAATTGACATATAGCAAATGCACATACATACAAACCCTCACTGTATAGTAATCAGAGCAGGTTAATTGCCGTTTCTGTTGTTATGGACACTTATCTTTTTTTGTGTGTTGGAAACATACTAAATCCTTTCTAATATTTTAAAATATTTTATTGATTATTGAAAGCTCTAGTTATTCTACTGTGCTATAAAACATTAGAAGTTACTCCTCTTATTCAACTGTACCCATTAATCAGAGTTGGTCTTTCTGTGGAGCTGACAATTGAGCAGCTACCTGAATGGAGACCTGGGAGTAAGAGAAATCCACAAAGAAAATAGCAAGTGCAAAGACCCAGAGGCAAGCAAAGGATCAGTGTGCTGATGAGCATCAGGGCAGGCTTAATGGATGCAGTATGAGATGGAGAGTGATGGAAGAAGATGCCTGAGAAGTGGGAAGAGGCCCAATCATTCAAAACCCTGAAGGCCTTGGAGAGGAGCTGGGACTTTGTTCTAGGGCTATAGGGGCCCCTGGAACTGATTGACCATGGGAGAGACACGCTTTGATTATCATTTTCAAAGACACTTCCTGGGGCTGAGGATGTGGCTCAGTGGAACACCTTGGTTAGCATGTATGAGGTCCTGGATTTGATCCCCAGAATGGTAACCCAAAATAAAAAGATATCTTGAGCAAATCTAGTTAACCCCCTGTTCTACTAATGCTTTTTGTTTTTGTTATATGTTGATGGATTATTGTTGTACATATTTATGAGGTACAAGGGATGTTATGATTTATGAATATAATATATAATAATCAAGCTAATTCATGTATCTACCACCTCAAACACCTCAAATCATTTTTGGTGAGAATTTTGATATTTACTCTCAGCAATTTTGAAATATCCTATGCACTATAATTAGCCATATTCACAACATTGTGCAACTGCTCTTTAAAGAAAAAAAAACACATTTCATTCTCCCCAACTCACACCTCTGGTAACTACCATTCTACTCTCTGCTTCTAAGTTCAATTGTTTTAGATTCCACATTTAAGTGAGACCATGTGGTATTTGTTTTTTTGTGCCTAGTTTATTTCACATCATCTCATTTGATGCAGAAAAAGCCTTTGAAAAAAATCAGTATCATTTCATGATCAAAACTCTCAATAAATTAGGTAAAGAAGAAAGGTAACTTGATATAATAAAGATCAAACATGACAGTCCATAGCTTACATTATATTCAGCAGTGAAAATTTGAAAGTCTTTCCTTTAAGATCCAAAACAGAGCAAGGATGCCCCACTCTTGCCGCTTCTATTTATTATAGCACTGGAAGTCCTTGCAATTGGGTAAGAGAAAGAAATAAAAGCCATCCAAACGAGAAAGGAAAAAGTGCAAGTACTACTGTTTACTGAGTACATAGTCTTATACGTAGGAAAAAAACTCTAAAGATTAAACACACACACACATACACAACCTGTTACAATGAAAAATTCAGTCAAGTTGCAGGATACAAAATAAACACACCCCACAGTCCTTCTATTGTTAGCTTCTCTATGTTTACAACAAACTTTCTGAAAAAGAAATTTGAAAAAGAAAAAGAATATTGCCATTTGCAATAGCCATCAAAAAAATGAAATAAAAACTTGGAATTTTTGAATAAGAAGGTGAAAGACCTATATGCTGAAAACTATAAAACAGTAATGGAAGAAACTGAGGAAGTCACTAACCCTTTTCAAATCCACCATGCCCCAGCCCAGAGAACCACTTATACTTTTCAGAATGTCCTGTATGTTCTCACCGCTGTGCCGCTGGTCACTTGTTTCCTCTCCCCAGAGGCCACTCTTGATCATTTCTGTCTTTCAAAATATTACCCCTCCTTCAAAACCTAGCCATGATCGACATCTCCCCAGTAAAACCTATTTAACCTCCACGCCAGTAACAATCAATTGTCCTTAAAATCCCACAGCAGTTTATTTGTGCCTCCATCACCATCCCTGCTTTGCCCTATTTTTGTGTTTTAATTATTTGTGTGTGACACACCTCCCTTAATATCTTAGGCCAAGAACTGTGTACCTCTCATATTTGTTCCACTACAAATCATGACATGTACCTTGCACACACTAAGACTTCAGGAAGTGCCTGCCAAGGTAATGGATGGACAGCCTTAATTAACATAAATTATTGTTTGGGGTTCTGATCCAGTCCTAAATCTGCAGTGCTATCATTTCTGTATCACTGATGATTATCTGCTTACTTAAATAACCTTTCCCTGAATACACTTAGAAAAGATGGAAAACTGTTATATGGGAGAAACAACTATGTAGGTTATTCCTTTCCTTAAACAAAGCAAAGTTCTGTTATGCGTCATGGAAAATTAAAGCACAGCAATAAAATGCGCCAACAAGACTTGTTGAGTAATGATTTAGTGGAAATGTTGCTTTGTCTCCTGTTCATGGGTCCTAACTTCCCTCTCAAGTACTTAAGCTGAAAGTTCTGTTTATTTTGTTTTTAGATTACATTGACCACTATTGGCTATGGAGACAAAACTCCCCTAACTTGGCTGGGAAGATTGCTTTCCGCGGGCTTTGCACTCCTTGGCATTTCTTTCTTTGCACTTCCTGCCGTGAGTATCTTTGCATCAATAAAGCAGCTTCAATTAGGTCTTAGAGGTTTAGTGGAGTCAGCTTTCACACATTGGTATGCTTGGGAACATATCTATGTCACTGACAAATTTAATTTTTCTAATATAACGTTGACTTTTCTAAATATATCTAGGTGGATAATTTATAAAATATGGTCTTCCCTCAGAAGCACTTAGACATTAATACCAGCTAGGTCTTTATGATCAAATAATAATTCAGATGGCATCACCTTTTCAATCAGCATGCCCCCAAAACATTTTAAATATTTGTGAAGATTTAAAGATGTCTTCATTTTAAACTGATTGTTTTGATTTGGTTTACAACATGTGCTACTAAATAGATGGCTATGCACAAGTGGAGATTCATTTGAAAGAAAAACATATGATCTCAAAGGGTTTTAAATGTGTCCAGTGATTTATTCTTTGTGTCACTGTCATTGATTTTCTTAATGAGCTGTTTCTGCATCTTATCAGAATGAAGAACACGTTTTTCTTCCCACAAGTTTCTGATTATTCTCTACTTAATGAATGAAGTTTATTTTTCTGATCATTTTATCCTCTTGTTTCTTTGCTGGCAGTTGAAGGAAATATTATAGTTTCTGTTTCCAAGTTCTAACTTTTGTCCCCTCTGCCTGGGAGGTGAGGGAGGCAGTCAGCATAATGGAGTGTTGAGGTGGTAGTCACAGGTGAACTTGAAGAACATAGTCGTGTCCTCCAGACACACACAAATGCCATGGCACAGTCTCTGCCAAGGAGAAACTTGAGAGCAACCCTCCAAAGAAAGCCAAGGGAGTGGGTCAGAGGGAGCTTTTCAGCTCCACCGTTTATTTCATGGGGATCCTCCCTTTCCTGTTAATAAATGCAAAGGGCATTCTTGGTCCTTCTGACAGCCAGTGCCCAGCTCCATATTGACCAGCTGGTTTTTCCTCAGAACACTCAAACTCACAGAAAAGAGATTTAAAAGACTGTGCACATGCTTGGGCATTAGACCTGAGTTTGAATTATTTGTCACATACTATATGACTATATTGGTTTGCTACGGCTACTATAACAAGTTTCCACAGACTGGTTGTCTTAAATAATAGAAATGTATTGTCTCACAGTTCTTGGAGGATAGAAATCTAAAATCAAGGTATTGGAAGGATTAGTCCCTTCTGAAAACCATGAGAGAATCATCTGTTTCAGGACCCTGTCCTTGGCTTGAGGACGACGACATCTTCTTCCTGTATCTTTATGTCTCCCATGTCTAAATTTCTTCTTCTTATAAGAACATCAGTCATGTTGGATTAGGGACCACTTGAATGACCTTATTTTAACTTGATTACCTCAGGAAGAGCCCTATCTTCAAATAGGGTTATATTCTGAGGTTTAGAAATTAAGACTCCAACATATCAACTTAGGGGGAACATAATTCAGTTCAAGGAGTGACTTTGAATATGTTTCTGCATGGATACAATGGAGGAAGAATTATTGAACCCAGAGAAATTTTGTGAAGAATAACCACTATGAGATAGTAGAATGAATCAGATATAACTTTCCTATGTTCATATTTGAATACACAACCAGTGTAACTCCACACCATGTACAATCACAAGAATGGGACGTTATACTCCATATATGTATGATGTCAAAATTCTACTGTCATGAATAACTAAAAAGAACAAATAAAACATTTTTTTAAAAAAAGGGAAAAAAAACAACCAATATGATAATGTAAGACAAGGGCTTGTTATAAAGAAAACTTAAATGCTACTTCCCTTTACCTCATGAATATAAAAAGACATGTTTCCTACAAGATGATGACATCAAAGAGAATTTTAAAAAAAATAAATAAATTCACTTATCCAAAGCCAAATCCTCTAGCATTCTGAACAATCCAGAACAGGGCAGAGACTCACTGAACAATTAGATTCCTGCAGGAAAATAACTTAAGAACAGTGAAACACAGTTTGTGATTTTTGTTCCTAAAATAATGGCCCCAAATATCTGCTTCTTTTGTGTTTATAGTTACCCTTAGCTAACATAGATAGCAGATGTAATTAAATAGACAGGGGTGTATCTGCTGTCTTGTAGCAAAGCCACTTGAGACCTAACTCATAATCTAGTCTTCTTCATCATTCTAATAAAATGACCCATATAGTTTCACAATTCTTTAAGGATTAAAAACAACAAATATAGAGGAAAAGTGATAGAACAAACACTACAATGGGGAGAAATGGTGAAAGGTTAACAGCAAAGGAAGGAAAAGAATATCTGTAAGAAGTGAGCAGACCTAAGTGTTCAAAGTGTGTGAAGACCTGGGGCCAAGTAGTGTTAGGGTCAACCTGCCCCTGGAAGCTGGCTGCCTCCAGCAAAGTGAAATGCCTCATGCCCTATAATGAAACTCTAGAAATGTTGCAGGGAGTTTAAGCTGTGTTGCTCTTAGGTTAAAGGTCAGAGACTAGCCATTCCTGGGAATGTTTCTGGTAAAATGATTACAATTTTATATGCAAATTAAAGTAACACAGGAAACCTGAAGAATTTGCTCACACAGAACAGAACATTTCTTAACAACGCCAAGAAAAGTTGCCTCTGTTATGGATCTTTTACTGCAACCTGGCAGGAGGTGCTGAGTTATCATTTTGTTATGTGCACCTGCCAGCCAACAGTGTTGTCTGATTGAAATTTAGGAGGACACATTGGCATTTTGCTGAGAAAGTTAGAGATGGATTGTGATCACTCCAGTTTCAGGCTTTTCCCACCCAGTAAACTTGAAGATCAGGGTGTCCCCATCTTACCTTCAATGCTGAAGGAGTGTCTTGCACATCAGAGAGTCATACAGGTCATCCTGTGTGACTTCTTCTGAGGCCCTCTCTATGCCTAGACTAAAGAGCTCACAGAGACAGCCCCTGCATCCTGGCATCACCCTGATGAGCAGGTCTCTCTCCTCTTTGGGTTCCCTCCCACTAATACTCCTGCTACAGGTATCTTTTTACTGATGAAGAAATTTTTGCAGTTTGAATTGCTTGAGACATTCAGCTAATAAGTTCAATGCAAGGACTAGTTCTGTTTGACTCAGGACATTAACCTTTCAAAAAATAAATATTAACCTCTATAATCATTAACAATATTAACAAATATAATTATTATATATAGTAAAATATTAACAACTGTTAAAAAGTCTTTTGGCAGAGGTTGTTTTCCAAGTGTGGGATACAAATTAGGCTCATTTAAGCTGGAAGATAAGGAGGGATAAATATTTAAAATGTTTAGCAAAACATTTTTTCTACTTAGTATTTATGTAGCACTACTCAGACTAGTACTAAAACTTAAAACCTAAAAAATTAAGCCTTGTTTTCCTAGAAAATGAATGAAAACAAAACTCAGTTTCTAAGAATCTGTATTATTGGTGTCAGTATTTGAAGGGATAGCACATATGTTGAAAGATTAAGCCATGTTGTGTGTGTGTGTGTATGTGTGTATATATATATAGATATAGATATAGATATATATATATATATATCATAACAGACTTTACTTAGAAGACTTATATTTAGGTGCACTGAGCTGTATACTTAGAGAGAGGTGGAAGAAAGTTGGAATGGAGCCACAGTGAGACAGTGAGCAGACCTGGTTTAATAACTGCTGTAATGTACAATCTGACGCAAGAGATATGTAGCAAACAGTTGCCACCTACTAATATAGGTTTCTAAGCAAAGCCAACATGACTTTCAGCAAATTTTAGTCTGTTTGGTAGATACTTAAGTTGTGCCATATAAGGCCTGACTTCATTTTCTAAACTCATAACTACACAAGTGCTCAAAACTGGCAGTTATGGCTGTTAATTCAACTTCTACAAAATCTTATGTTCCATAAGAATTGGTTATATACAATATATATATAATGTACATACATCTAATACATATTATAAATAAGTGCTATAAATTTTGAGGTTTTATATTCTCTTATATGTTTATACTGCATGGACAGTAACATTAAAAGGAAAATAAATCAATTTTTCCTAAATAACTTTACATAATAAAAAAATTAGGAATTACAAATGACTAGAGTTGATCTGGATTTGGAAATGGAAAGCCATTTGTATAACCTCCAAGTGGAGGTAAATATTGTTTAAATCTGCAAACCAGATCACAGAAACCAAGTTATTCTAAAGCTTAGTTTGTATAATCACAACCTGTATGAGATGGAAATCTTAGACAGCATGAGGCATGCACTGAAAAAAAGAGATGGAAAGCAGAACCTATGATGTCATTGCTCATTACATAGGACAGTCATTTATCTAATTAGTAATGGAGTAGGTCATTGCTCATTAGTAGCAAATAGTATTATTTTATAATTGTGTATTTTAAACATGATTGCATTACTGATTGTCTGGTTATTGTCACAGATGTACTCAGAATTGTGGAATTTCAAGATAAGGGGAAGGTTAAAAGCTATCTAGAGCCCAAAAATATCTTAGCCAAACTGTCACCCAGTCAAAACTTAACTAACACCTCCAAGAGATGAAATAAACCCACCACCTCTCCAGACAGCCTGTATCATCCTTGAACTACTTTAAAAAAACATAAAGAAAAGGAAAGCAACCATTCCTTACCTATGGCAAATAATGACTTAGTGCTTCTAAGATGTCCATCTCTAACCTAAGGGTTAGACTCCTTGAAGTTTAATAAAAAGCTAATAATTTATAGCTAGCAAATAAAATCCACAAACTTGAAAGCAGTGGAGTTCCAAGTCTCATACCAATAAAGTTGAGAGTATAGACAAAGCCCAGAGACTGAATGAAGCAATCTCTGAAAGCCAATGCAAGGCTGAGATGAAAAGCATCCTGATTTCACAAATGTTAGACCAAAGCAAACTGAAAGGAGAGGGGAACATCAAAGAACCAGGATTTTGGCAGATCAAGATGATAAGCAGACAGAAAGAAAACTAGCCAAAAACTAACATAAACATACTAATCTTACTAACCCCAAAATCTGAATAGGTGAGCCAAAACCAAAAGGTAAGGAATGCTAATAGTGTGAGATGAAAACAGGAAAAACAGAGTGTGCTTTGCAATGACCCATGCTCGTGTCTCTATCATATAGACAGGCAAAATGGAAAACCTCTTTCTTCAAAACTGAGTGCCTATTTGTCTCATCTGGATAATTTTCCACTCTCTTTTACTTTATTTGTAAAATTATAGCATCATGAAGGATTATAACTAGGACAGACTTGAAACACACCCTCCCCCATTTCATGGATCAAGAATATATAACTTCAGAGTTTTGTCAAACGGATAAAGTCCTCCCATATCCACAGCAGCAAGATTTTAATTCTCTCAAAGTCAAAATCCAGAATTCATGTCCTCAAAATGCTATCACTAGATAAGACCACTCACTCCAATTTAGGCACAAAGAGATGTCACAGAGAAGGCCACACACAAAAAAAAAAATTTAATAGCAAATTATATTTGTGTTTATGATGCCTATTACTATATCAGCAAAGCCAAGAAAAAGGCAAACCCTAGTTGATTTGCTAAAGAACAGAAGTTGTTATATCTCTTGACAATGTTGCCTAACAACTTGCCATTAGCTGACGCTATTATAATAGAGATAAATAGTGTTTGTTTTAGTATGTAACATGTTTATTCTGGACAAGTTACACACTGTTTGTCTTCTCAGACTCATTTTAGCAGTTTTTTAAATACTTGTATTATTTAACAGTACTTTTGAAATTTGTTTTTAAAAGTGCTATTTTTATATTTTGTTCCAGGGCATTCTTGGCTCAGGTTTTGCATTAAAAGTACAGGAACAGCACCGCCAGAAACACTTCGAGAAAAGAAGGAATCCAGCTGCCAACCTCATTCAGGTAAATGGCAATTCAATAGGTAGACCACAACATCTGTCTCCACAAGTGCTGGATGGGTCATTTTCAAATCTCTGTGCTTCTTTGTTTTTTGTAGAGCTACTATTTTGTCTCCTTTTAAAAAATAAAGTCAGGACTTAATGAACAGTCTTGGATTTGGGCAGGTATTTCCTCTCTCCCAACTGAAATATATTTTTTCAGCAAATGATCTAAGCATTATTCAGACTAATTAACCTTACCAGCAAGACCATGTAGAAATGAGCAGTTTGGTTTCTCCTGGAATGACCTAATGTGTCTTATGAATGATTGGTGAAACATAACTGATCATTAAGTAATGAAACAGAACATGGCCTTGTTCCCTGCTTGACAGTTAGCTTCCTCCAGCCAGATGTATGCCCAGGCTGAAGAACAACAGATGTGTTTAGAGCGTCAAAGTTTAGTGCCCGTGAAATTGCTTTTAATGTTGTCTAGGGCAATCACTTGAAAGAGTTATCTTATTTTAAGAGCTGGTGGGATTATGGGTTACATCCATGATGGAGGATATGAAATAATAAGCATATTACTTGAGGCTAGCTCATCATATATTGATTGTTAAGCATTTTGTTTTCTTTACGGTAACTCAGAATTTGCTTTAGCATTAAAAGAAATGAGCTATCCTCTTGCTATCCATATCTTTTGGGTGTGGAACCATCCTAGAACCAGGTTAAGAATCACAAAATATGTTTTTTGCCAGACTCATAATGTGAAGTTGGTACTTAATTATAGATAATTCTACAATCTAAAGTTTTTTCCCAATTCTGCCAAGGACTTAAGCTCCAGAACTTCTAAACTGGAGGTGTTTGGGATGGCAGTCCCAGGTACTTGAAGGCTTGTCTTCATGTAATAGGAAGCAACCACTTGAACCCTTAGCCTTGCAATACCTCCAGTACAGGAGGAGCTAGGGAAACGAGGGAGGAGAGAACATCGGTTGTACCATGAAAGAGATCTGTTCATGTCTAATGGCTAAATAAGAACATTAATTGTGAAATCGGCCTATTCTGCAACTATTGACTAAAAATGGATCTTTCCACATGACTTCTAATACAAACCACTGAGAGTGTCTACTTTTTTAAATTTCCAGCTTTAAAAGAGCACAAAAGAGAAAGAAAACTTAATTTTCTTAAAGGAAAAGATCCCCTAAATACTAAGAATGTATGAGCTGATACCCAACAAAGATCAGCAGAATGAAAGGAGGCCACACACAAAACACCCAGCCCCCAACTCGGAGCCTTTCGTCCTTTAGCACTTAGCCACACTTCTAATAAAATCTTCTCTTTACATATTCTTCTCTTTAATATCCCTTCCCTCTAGAAAAATGTTTCCAACCTGTGAGTGAAAGGTTATTTGATAGGTTTCTTGCTTCCATCTGGGCACCAAACCCTGTCCTTCTAAGGAGCCAATAACACATCTTACCTCTTACATCTTAAAACCTCTTAGAATATCAACTGTTCTGTTAGCAAGTGAGCTATTGTAGGAATTTCTCTGCATATATCAATTGTGATGCTATAGGGCTATTCTGCCCAATACAATAACCACAGATTCCATGTAACTACTTAAATATAAATTAATTAAAATAAAAAAATCCATTCCTTTGTAGTACTGGATACTTCTCAAGTGCTCAATAGCTTTAAGTGACTATTGGATACCATATTACATAATACATATGTGGAGAAAAACTGCAGGAACTTTTCTGATCTGACTTGTCATTATCAACTACTAAACTGTGCAAAAACAATTTCCAAATGAACTTAAAAATAAATTGCTGTTTTCCTGCATTAAATCACTGGAGCAAGGCATTTATATGTCCACAGCCTAACTAAGGCAAGGCCTGCAGCACAGGTAACCTATAAAAGGTGGAGAAGATGCTGATTGAACAGATTTGCTTGGAGGCTTAGAATTTTACTTTATGGAACTTGGTTATATAACATATATCACAATCAGCAATTAAACTTGTAAAAATTGAGATAAAAATAGAGCAAAATCATGAATTTTTTTTACTTAAATTTCCAAAGTATATATTGTTCTTAAGCAGAAACTAATAGAAAATACAGTACTTGAAGTGTTGAAGAACACCTTTAAAATATAATCATAGTTTCATAAATCAAAATAGAATTTACTAAATTAAAAAGTAACTGCTCGCTCATTCAAATGCAACTTATTTATTTATTATACATAGGAATAATATGACTATTAATTCATTGCTTCTCCTTGATGTAGTTTTTGGACAGAATTCAGGGCTTTAGGCCTTGATTATATCTCGTAGAAATTTATTTTTAAGGATGCACTAGATTGAAAAGCAAGCCTCATTTGCTGATCATTCATTTTCTTACCCAATAAACCTGACTTGATTTGCTGAACATACAAAGCATCAAGACCCAAAGCAATCTCATTTGTTTTAAGCCAGAGCCACTCTCATCCTACAAGGGCAAGTGAGATGCCCAGATTGCTTTGTCATTTGGTTGGTGATAGAACTAAATTAACCAGCATTTCAGGGTTTTAGGGAAAAGCTTAAAACCCCAGAAGTTTGCAGCAAATTTAGCTGTGTCAATATCTTTGCATGATTCATTTAAATTAACTTTTCATTTCAAGTGGAGCAGTCTGGGAAAAGAAATCAGCTCTCAGTAACGTTTTGAATACCTGCCCAAATGTCACAACTTTTATTAATAATGTTTAAGACTCATGAAGTGCTTTTTAGTTTGCAGAGTACTTCTAATACACAATGTTACTTGATCCTCAAGATAAGCCTAGGAAAATCTAGGACCAAAATTCTTGCTGTCCGAATCCAAATCCATTACTCTTTTGAAAAAGCAACTTTGCACCTTCATATAGGCATTTTTTGAGCTTTGGGGTTAACATTTAAAGACTCTCCCAACCCATGTCAGAGTTTTGCCTCTGTAGAAGATGGACCAATTCAGGGTACAGCGAAGATGTTTTCCTAGAAACAGAAGCAAGGGAATTGAATAAAAGTTTGAGAAATCAATGCTGATAGAATTCATTTCCTTAAAGGAGTCAACTAAAAAATGTTGCTTTTGAGGATGCTAACTGGCCTAAAAGAAAAAAAAAATATATATATATATATATATACACACATGTATATATAAAAACTGGCTTCCTCTAATGGCATAACTTAATCTTTACCAAGTTATCCTAAAGTAAGGCTGCCAATCCATAAGCTCAAGCCACTTATACAGACTATACATCTTTTTTAGTGCTTCGACCATAAATAAGAATAGAATCAGGAAAAAATTCCATATGTTAAAAAAAATGACAGCAGAGAAAAATAATAGGGAAGATAAGATTGTGAAAATCTCCAAGAGGGCACCTTAAATAGAGACAGGAAAACTGAAGAGGGGAGATTTTACCAGATAAATATTACATTATTCTCCAGAACTGGGTGTCAGAAGTGGCCACCATAAAAGAGTGTACAAAATGCCCAGCACAGTAAACCAAAAACTTCGTACCAAGATTATCATAATGAGATATCAGAACACTTCCAACAAAGAATATCCTAAATGATTTCTGAGCAGGACATATCCACAGGAACAAGAATCAGCATGGCATTGAATATCTATCTCATTAGTAACTCTAAAATTGGAAGACAGTAGAATAATACATCCAAAATTATGGAGGAAAATTACTTCCAACCTAGAATTCTATCCCCAGCCAAACCAGTCATGGAGAACAACAGTAGCACAAAAGCATTTTTAGACATAAAGATCTCAAAAACTTACCTACTATTTTTCCTTGCCCAAGAAACTACCTGGATAGGACTGTCCTTCCAGAAGAAGATAAACCAAGAGAGGAAGAGACATGAGATTCAGGGAATAAGAGTCCCATCTCTACAGCAATAAGGACGGGAAGCCCCCCATGGCAACAGGCACAGCAGGCTGGGTAGCAGAGTGAGCAGGAGGCTGAGTGATCCAGGAGAAAGATCTTCAAGGACACACAAAAACAGAACTGACAGATTCTACCACGCATTTGACGTGAGAAATTTTATAGTTCTGTAGGAAACAGCAGGAATGTCTTCGTAATAGTTACATAAAATCAAATCAATAAACTAAAATAGGGCAGTGATAACTCAAAAAAAAACAAAAAAAAATTATAGAGAAAAGAATGAGTATTTATAGTCTGTTACATTTCTAAACTAGGAAGAATAGTTACATGCTTACAATAATGAAAACACTAAGTAATAACTAAAATTGTTGTAAGGATGAGAGGAGGGGAAGGGGGCATATAAGTGGGCCATGTTATTATCTTTCATGATAGGAAGTTAATTGATGATGCCTAAAACTGAAAAATCAAGAAATAATAGTATGAGCATAATCCTTCAGAATAGAAATTCTTGGTCTAGGGTTGTAGCTCAGTGGTAGAGCACTTGCCTAGCACATATGAGGCACTGGGTTCAATCCTCAGCACCACATAAAAATAAATAAATACAATAAAGGTATTGTGTTCATCTACAACTAAAAAAATTTTTAAAAAGAAAAGGGATTCTTAAAAATAGAAATGACAGCCGGGCTTGGTGGTACATACCTGTAATCCCAGCATCTTAGGAGACTGAGGCAGGAAGATCGTGAGTGCAAAGCCAGCCTCAGCAATTTAATGAGGCCCTAAGTAATTTAGCAAGATCCTGTCTCTAAATAAAAAATATATATATAAAAGGGCTGGGGATGTGTCTCAGTGGTTAAGTGCCCCTGGGTTCAAGGCCCATTACCAAAAAGAAAAAAAATAACTTCCATACTAATATATCTTTGTATGGTCAGCTGAAACCTTCTGAACTGTTTCCAGAAATGGTCAAGCTTGCCATAGGTGTGCTACTTCAGATAGAGCAACTAAATACTTCCAAAGCTGAATTATATTACATAGTACTTTTGATCACAGAAAAAAAGTTCAAATTTTTTTAGCTACCTAGAGCACCACCTTCATTGATAACTAGCAAATTTGGTTCTTACTTTTCTTCTTGTTAACTTATCCTTTGGTGTAGATACACCATGTAAATCAGCCATGGGAAAGTGCTGTTTTTCTCTTGCCAACCACTATGTGATTTAGGTTTTAAGATGTAGGAACATTAGGTACTGGATCCTGCAAATGTGGACTTGAATTTCAGCTACTAGAAGCAATCAGCTGAGATGGAGGGCAGGACATAGTTATTAAGAATTCTTAGAGCAATGGAGTTACACTTCTCTCTGCCTTTTTAACATTGACTAATATCATCCCTGGAATAGATGCCACTTGCCCCTTCTGTACCCCTAATTTACAAGGCATTTTTAGGAGAACAGTAATGAAGGGAAAAAGAGCTTAGCTGTTGAGATCAATTTTATTAAAAAGAGCAAGAAGCCAGGTTCTATTATAAAAAGAAAGAAAGAAAAGAAAAGAAAAAAATCTTCAATTTTCTCAGCATAGCCTCTTTTGGCCCCAATTCTCTATAACATTAACAGATAGTGCCTTGGTCCCATTTTTTGTTGTATTGATGTTTTAGATTTTTTTCCACTAGTTTCAGATAATGCACAGACCCTGCTGTATACATGTAGTTCTACATGAGCTTTGCTTTTAGGATATCAAGAGCTCACATATATATCATACCTGCTACAGAAATTATTTAACTAAAGCAACCACTTATATTCTGACAGCATCAGAGGATCTCTAGGCCTCACCACTACAGAAGCTGCAATAACAAAGTCAATGGATTTTCATTGATTATTCTAGTCACCCTAAAAATTGTATATGTGGTTGCAAAAACTATCATTTCAAGTTGATAGGCTAGTAATTGCTTTATTGTCTATAAGATGTCAAGATGCTTACCACAAATTTCCATAGATTTATTGGTTAAATCAACATGAGCCATGAGAATGAAGCTTCAGGCAAGGAATCCTGATTGAAAATACAAAAACCTTTCTTGGAAACATAAAATAGTCCCTCAGGTTCTACTATATATTTTTCTAATTTTTCATGTCATTTCCTGAGCATTTTACTGAAGTATAATGTGCATGCAGAAAAGACCACATTTCCTACAAGAACTCTGCACCCTGCATCACCAACACTCAGATAAGCAGAGCATGACCTCCTGTGTGCCCTTTCTCAGTCACTGTTGCACCAGGGTAGCCACTGGGCTCCCTTCTAAGGATAGATTAGTTTTCCCTGGTTTTTGTACATAATGGTAAAGTATTCATTTCTGTCTTGTTTCTTTCACTGAGCATTATTCATATGACGTTCACCCATATTGTTGAGCATAGTTAGAGTAAACTATTACCATATAGTATTCAATTGCATGACGATACCACAAATTTCCTGCTTTTGCTACTGCTGATAGATATCTAAGGCATTTTCAGCTTTAGTTTATGAAGAAATTAGTGCATATCTTTTGGTGAACATATATAAACATTTCTGTTAGGTATTTACCTAGGAATGAATAACTGTATCATAGGAACTATATATGTTCAACTTTAACAGATCTTCCAGACAGTTTTTCAAAGTAGTTGTGCCAATTTTTGACTTTTTATTCAGCTTACTTTTATTCAATGATATGCTGCTCAGGAAAGGGAATATAATTAGATCACTTTTTTCCTTCATTGTAGGTTTCAAAATCATGACTGATGGTTATATAGCAGGGATATGACCCATTTAAATGAATTTGCCACACAAAATAGAATACTCTGAGTAATGAATCATAATAAAAACTTTTCTCTGAGGAGATTGGAGCAAACATTTGATCATTAAAGATGCTTGCAGGGCCATTGCAAAGGGATAAATTTACCAAATTCTACATGGGAAAGTAAGCTCAGGCAGTCTCTCAAATGGACAGTTCAAATAGAAAGTCTTTCAACCACAGTGATCAAGCATTTAGTAAAATCCCCACTGGAAGACTGTCACCAAGAGCCAGGCAACTGGGGGTGCTGTCTCAACCCCACCAAGCTTGTATAAATCTCTTCATTTATCTGAGCACTTTTGTTCTCATCTACAAAATGGGGATCTTAATCCACACTTTGATTGTAAGGATCATATGAAAATATCTCATATTATGAATGTCAGGAATGATTGCATGAAGTAGACAGAGCTTATGTTTTTACATCACAGAGATATAAACATATTCTTAGTTCATGATATTAAACCCTTAGGTGTTTTCCACTTATATTCCTAGAGATACATCCCTCCCAATCTTGTTTTGGCTCTGTTCTGGTTATCACTATTTTCATTTTTAGCAATAGAACTACTTTATGGTTCATCTTCAGGGACTTCACTAATGAAATCATTAACATACCCTGGAGGTCATTAGTTTACTAGTTAGTTCGATAGTTGCATAGTGGATTTTGGTAATTCTTTGCCTCTGTCTTTTCAAATATTGCTCAAAGACACTCCCTGGAATGCATATCTCTGCTCAGGTAGTTTATCTAACTAGTATCTTGGATATCAGTATGTATTGAATGAGTTACTCATTGCTGATTTTGTTTTTGGATAATATAGTATTTTTTTCCTAACCAATTCAAAAATTGAGTTATGCTATACTTTTTGGCACTTTCGCTTTTTGATGCAAGTTGTTTTGAAAATTATTTTGATGTAGCAGAATCTGTGCAGCAGTCAGCTGAAAATACCAAAGTAGACTACTTCTTCCTTTGGGCTTTTCTTAGGGATAAATATGACAAAGAAAAGACTTTTTTAGTTTGTTGATGGACCTTTATTTTATAGATAGATAGATAGTGCTGACATTCAAACCCAGTGCCTCACACATTCTAGGTAAGCTCTCTACCACTGAGCTAAAACCCCAGGCCCAAATAAAAAATTCTTAATGTGCATAACTTAATATTCCGCCTGTTATGTCATTCTATTTCCTATTCTCTTTTGTTTTCTTTTTCATGTCCCTACGTGTGCCACATGCAGTGTGTTTGGCGTAGTTATGCAGCTGATGAGAAATCTGTTTCCATTGCAACCTGGAAGCCACACTTGAAGGCCTTGCACACCTGCAGCCCCACCAAGTAGGTATCTATGTGACAGCTGGTGCTTTAGTTGAGTCTTTTCAAGTTTGTTAAACAAACCTTATACACAGAGAATGTCAATTTTTGGCTTGTTATTCTCTATTGCTCTTAAAGAGATTTATACCTGTTTAGCAACTTAAGCACAAAACTGTATGGAATCAGTATCATTCCTCACATGCACAGGCCAGGATTAAAGAGTAAAGGAATGTAAACTTTTATATAGACTTCTTTCTGCTATTTCATGCTCTTTCATCTCATAAAGTCCACCAGAACCCTAAAGGAGAGCATCACAGTCCCTGAAAGCAAATTACTTATCTTCTACTTATCACCTGTCTTCAGGAGGGGAATGCCTTGAGAGCAATATATCGCCGCATATTTAAGTCTGTCAAAGTCATTGCTCATCTGGATCCACTTATAGGGTGGTTCGTGAGCTTTCAGTTACAGATCAAACTAATATCAGCAGGAAAAAAAAGGAACGAGAAGAATTGAAGTCCAATAGAATTAGAAATTTTAAGTGAGGCAATGGGACCAATCAGATTAAAATTTGGAACTAACATTCAAGATTTTAAAGTCATACTATTACTGACATTCCTATTTCATTGGCCAGAGCCAATCATCCAGTCATGCCAAAACTCAAAGGTTTGGGAAAGTATAACCCTACCATGTACCTAGAAGAAGGAAAGAACCTGAGACATTTGAACAGAATTAAGGATTACCACAAGGATCTTTAATTTTAAAAAGTCCTCAGTCCTAGAGTCCTAAACTCCAGTTCAGCTTACAGAGCACATATTAAATCATAATTGCCAACTAATTAAAGAAGCCCTCGCTGAAGCAGCAAAGCAAGTAAGTCCTGACAAAGACTCCCTGTGAGTCCCTCAGCTTGATCCAAGGTGTCAGTCCTTTAGATTGTTCCAAAGGTAGATTGTTCATCTGGCTTAGTGTTTTATGGCACTAGCCATTTACCTTCATAGCCCAACAAAACCTTAGTCTCAATGGCTTCATGGGATTCAAAGGGCTCACCACTGTGACTCAGAAAGGCCATGTTCTTATTGATTGGGAAGGGAGAGAGGCAGCAGAAATCTTCATGTCTTGCCTCTGGGCATGGCTGCTGTGTGGAGGCAGCACCATGCTTAGTGTTGGGGTGCATCAACCCAATCATTAACTAACAGGATTTGTTAAGTGACTTTCCTGTCTTGCTCTGGGCCTCAATTTTCCTACCCACAAAGAAAAGGACAAGAGCTGTCAAGGTGGTTCCTAAGTGCTAATGGAACACATATCCTAGAGGTCAGTAGCTAAAACCATCAGCACCTGGGACAGAGATAGTCATAGAAACACCCCCCACCCACCCTTCCTTCCCACACTGCTCCAGGATTTTAGAAAGGATGGAACCTTATCAAGGACAGAAGCCTGGATGCTGTTGAGTGAATGTGCAGATGAGACTCCTTTCTTCATTTAGATCTTGAAATTTAGTTGAAGTCCTTTTATTGAATAGTAGATACTTTCAAGCTGTTGGTATAGAAATTCAAAAAAAAAAAAAAGGAACACAACTCTTGTGTCATCTATTTCTTGGAATATGAGTAAAAATGAGAATTATATAGACATTATATTTCTTATCTTCTTAAAGATTCTAGATAAAGATAAAAGAATAAGGTTAGTAGGAAAACTGATAAAGGGTTCTCAAATAACAGAAGAGAGTGGTCTATTGCCATATGTGACTATCCCACTTACTGCAGTTTGGGATTAAAAGTCATTCGGAAGCCTAGAAAACCCAGGCTGCATCAGTTATTATTTTACTCCTCATTTTTTTCTTTTCCTTTGATATTTTCCGTTTAAAATGGGAGTGGAGGTAGAGAAGAATCGACATCTGTGCCTGCTTCCCCTCTGTCCTGTTGTGCCCCTCAGCCCATGTCCTCATTCACCTTTCCCTGTAACCTCATTGACCTCTGAATCTCAACCCCATTTACTGAAGAGCATTTATATGTCCTGAATGCCAGCAGTCTCTAGTGCAGTTTATAGAAACCTGGGTATCTGAACATCTCTCTTTCCACTGATACTTCCTTGTTCTCATCGCTCTCGCTATTGATGTTATTGTTGTTCTTTCAATTGGTGTTGTGATGGAACTTAAGGGCTACTCCCCAAGAATAATATTCATTGCACAAAGAAAGTCAAAAGCTTGCCCACAATTTTAATGTATTCAGAACCTTTGCTTTAGAAAGAAAACCTAGTCAGGCTTCTAGGTTCTTGAGAAGAATAATTTACAATGACTTAAAGGGATATTTTTACATTTATAATTAGCTGGCTTATTGAATTCGGAGTAATGTTGTAAGAAAAACAGCAAAGCTTTTGTTATTTCTATAGTGCCCTTCCTTTATCAGCAGCTAAGAACTTCTGGAGAGAAACATAGTTTTTCTATGTATCCATTCAACAAGCATTCCCTGAACACCTGTTGGGTGCCAGGCACTGTTCTAGGCACTGGGGAGTCGGAGAGAAAAACAAACATGATTGAACCTCAGGGTTTAGGAAGTCTATATGCAATGGATACTGGAAATAAATTAAAAAGTAAAATACAAAACATGTTAGATAACAAAAAGTGCTAAGGAGGAAAGAAAAATAAGGAATTTAGGGAGTATCAGGGGCTGCAATTTTAAATGAGAAGTCAGGGGAAAGAACACATTACTAACATCATCATCACCAGCAGCAGCAATGGTAGTTATCACTGAAAATCAGCAGCCCCATGCTCTGCTTCCCCACAGTTTTAGAAATACAGTGGGACGTTGTGACTCCACAAGCTCCTCCCAAGGAGTAGGATGAAAGAGTCTAAGAAACAGAGGTGTCAGGGAGAGAGGCAGGCAGCGGGGACATGCCGCACCCACTCAATTCTGCCAGGGGTGCAAACCAGCAGTTTCCTACTCTCTCTTTTTCTGGCCTGGATGTCTCTTATGTACACCTTGGAGATCTGAGATGCTACTTCAAAGTGTTGTTCAGACAGAAGGATTTATAGAAGGAAAGGTTTGCCTTGATTTTTCTTCTCAGAGTGAGCAAAAGCTATGCAAAGGGTGAAACGTGGGTAAATGTGCTATTTTAGAGGATGAGTCAGACATATTCTATGAAGCTGTAAGGAATTATCAAACTCCAGGGATGCCACAAGTTTCCTTAAGAAGTCAGAAGTTAGATTCTAACATAAGACCTTCCCATTCAGTCATGACAAATACGAAGACCCCCAGGGAAGAGAGGTGCCTACCAGAGGCCCAAGGCTCATTTGCTAGGAGTGGTGACTCTGCACCGTGCTGCCTAGACCTGAATTTGCTCACATGAATTATTAAAAATGCTATTCAACAGTAGACTAAAAGAGTTCTAATGTTTTGTTTTGTTTTGTTGTTTTGTTTTGTGGAACTGGGAATAGAACTCAAGGGCACTCAATCACTGAGCCACATCCCCAGCCCTTTTTGTATTTTATTTAGTAGACAGGGTCTCACTGGTTGCTTAGTGCCTCACTTTTGCTGAGGCTGGCTTTGATCTCACGATCCTCCTGCCTCAGCCTCCTGAGCTGCTGGGATTACAGGTGTGTGCCACCATGCCCGACACTTTAATACATTTTTTATGTATCTTATTTATTCCAAGCGAAATCATATTTTATATTATAGAAAAAAAAATCTACCTCAACAAGTGGCTGAAGTAAAAGGCCACAGTTACTGATTAATGAATTCAAATTTAGAACTCAAACGTCTCCCTAAGGCACAGAGACTGGAGCTCCTTTGTAACTAGCAACCTTCTAATGCCAGTCGGATCAGAACCACTTTTTCTTACCCATGAATAACCTTGGTTAATGAAGAGCTTTGGGCGATATGTGGGCAGTATTGGATTTGCTAAGTAAATGTGCTATCTCAGATCTGTACCACAAAGAACATATGTTGGAAAGTTGAGTATATTTATTATAAGTGAATGCCTTTGTGGCTTGTACTTGAAAAGGGCTACTTAAAGTACTTGATTCCCCAGTCTCCAATTTGGCCATTATCAAGTGCTGTAAATGTATTCACTGGTTTATCATCATTTCTCTTCTGTCTGCACGCACCTGAAGGAAAGAACAAGGGGAAGCATCAAGCAGGTTTGTGATTTCTCTTTTGCTACATGTTTGTTTATAAATCTGATGCCTAACAGATGTTTTAAATGTGTCTCATGAGTAAAATCGATCAACAAATTCAAGATGATTAAAAGTGACCTTTCACAAGATTGCCTGCAAAGTTTGCTGGGTTTTATTGATTGTTCTCCCTTTGGGAGCAGAAGCATCTTTCCCTAACTCACTCACTGCTTTTAACAATCTGCAGGACATAGAACATTGGGTGTGGGGAGGATTATGGTCTTTGATTACTCCTTGTTACCATCTTCCCGGTCTTATCCAAGTATTCAAATACAGTAATCTTGATAGTTAAGAAAAGAAAAAAATTGGGATTGTTATGGGCTCAGAAATCAGTCTAGGATACACTTTTCTTCATTAGAGTCCTTCTTTGGATGTGAAAAATTTTTATTTTGTTATTTTTTGGCTAGAGGTGAGAACCATTTCTCTAGAATATCCCCAGAGCATTCAGCAGTGAGGTTTACTCGGGTTTTATAATTCAAAAGAAGAATCCTCTCCATCCTTCAGGAAGAAGACAGCCCTCCAAAACTTCTCCAAATAATTCATGTTCATTTTTTTGTGTGTGCTCTGGAAGGAAGTGCCTGAGTAGAATCAGACCTAGAGGGAGTAGAAGATAAAAGAGAACATTTTTATTTGTTTTAATGAATACCAGGAAGGGTCTAGATTTAGGAGCAAAGCCCTGAAGGACAGAGCCAGTGGACCCCCAAACCATGGTGTAAGGAGTGGCAGAGTCTAAACAAGTGCCTGGGAGGGAGGAAGGGGTACAGTTTTCTTCCTATCATTGCCACTTGTTTCAAGAAACAGGAAGCAAAAGCATCTCCCCCACACACACCTGGAGTTGGCTTCTAGGTGGGAGCCACTGTAAATCCAAGGATTGTTTCTTTAGCCTTGTATTGTTATAATAATGACACTAATTATAAAATATTTATGCAATATTGAAATTAGTTTAGAAAGTTCACTTGGGATAATAAGGCTATAGGCTTTCATTTCAACATTAGCACTTAAAAAGATTCTTAAACCAAGACATGAATGCATGCATCTATGAAAGGAGACAGATAGGGTAGGACACACAACATCGAGCACTCCTTTGGGGTACATAGGCCTGAACAGGGATGGCTTTAAGGATCCTCTCTTACTTGATAGCCACAGAGTTAGAGAAAGGGACATTGAGTGTTCCCAAGTGATACTTCCAGAAAATGTTAACTGCCTGAAGAGTTGTTCTCTTCCACCTTGGAGATATTTCTAACCAGGGAGAGTTCTAGTCATTAGTCTCAAAACTCTCTTTGCACAAACACTGGAAGGGACCAACAGACAAATTCTAACCATTTGCCCTTTTTCCAGGTTCTGTGCAGATCTTTCCATCCTTCTATTGTGACAAATTTACTTGGAAAAAAAATTATACAAAACAAATCATGGCCACTATAAGCCATTTTAGCCTCTCTGGTAATATTTTTAAAACTTCCCTTGTCTTCGGAGTTATCTACTTACAAATTATCTCCAAGGGTGATTTGTCTCCGGATTCTAAGGGCAGCGACCACCTTTGGCATGAATTACAGCACTATCTGAGAGTAAGATCACCTATCTTGCTTTCATTCTCCAAAACAGAGCTGTTGAAAACCAAAGGGGAAGTTTATAAATCCCGTGGAGGTGAGTGAATGGCAGGGCTTTGTGGGGGTCACTTCTAGCCCACAAGCTTTCCAAGACAACAAAGAAAAGATAAGATGAAAGTGTCACTATTGAGCTTCTGCTCACTAATCCAAACATGAGTCTCCTTGTCAGCAATGCAAAAAGACTACCAATCAAATTTTCTAAATTTCACATGTATCTAATTAAATGTATTCTGCATGTTTGGGACTGAGGTTGTCAAAGATAACTCACCCATGAGTTTGAATATGTACTGCACCACAGAACTGAGTTTATGACTTAGAAAATTTCTTACTTCCCTGCAGTCATTGGACACCTGGCAAAACTACCTCGAAACAAATCTCATATTACTACTTAGCCTAGATACCTTACTCCATGCTTCATTCTTCATACATTTAGTTCTCCTACCTCCAACTATCTGTTGCACCACCTGTGTAAAGTTATATAGAGAATGTGCTCAATTAATAATTCTTGGATAGAATAATATAATGTCACTGACCTCATGTGAGGAGAGAAAACACAAACAGAAATGGAAAATGAGAAATATTTTTTAAAAAGAGAGAAGATGATCAATTAAAAACATTGAAATAATCTGAAGGAAATAAGCTAAAGGCTCTCATTTTTTTAATTGACACATAAAATTTGTACATATTGAAACTCCCATTTTAATATTGCCTTAGCTTTCACCTTGTGCTCCACAGGCAATGGAATTTATAATGCTGCATAATGAATGCAGAAAAACTATTGTAATGACAATAGCAATAACACCATCTTAGAAAATAACACATTTGTCCTTATCCAAGCAAAATAAGCATAAAGGAAAATGCATTTATAATGAGAGTTCTCCCTTAGAGAAGAGCAGCTCTGGGTCCAGAATACTGATAATTAGTGCTTGACCCATTTCAAATGAACCAATTAGCACCACCCAATTGCAGAGTTCTGTTACTGTGCTTGGGGGCCCTTGGGTTATTGATAGTGATTCAGGTAAAAAGAATAGACAAGTTTCAGCCCAAGTAGGAACTTTCAAATATCTCAGATCATGGAATCTGCCCAGTCTTTCCTTTTCCTGGAATCTCCCCAGCACCTGACACTCACAGCCAGCACTGTAGACTGGGCCATCCACAGAGAAGCTCTTCTCTCTGCAGAATGGATGGAGGTCAAACATATTCGCATAACCCTTACTTAATTATATTCCCTGCTTTGGAGTGTTCCTGATTTTAAAAAAAAAAATGTCTTTCTATACGGAAGTTAGGAAGTTAAACAAAATTCATCTGTGATTATCTCAGGCTAAGAAACAGTGTCATATTGTTTATGACAGATCCAAAATTTTCAAAAAAAATACAAACCATCGTCCCAAGAAAAGCTTTTTAAATATAGCTCAACTGAGCAATAGTTAAAATAATGTTTTTTTAGCTCTCTTCGGTACAGGGTTGGATAAAAATTACTGTTAGTCTCAGCTGACCCTGCTGTCTTCTTCCTCAATTTCAACCATGAAAACAATTTCTTGAGCATCATTTTAATATTTATTTTTCTTCCCATGAAAATAGTTTTAATCTCATAATGAGATGGCAAATGTGTTTATTGATTTTATTCTAATTAATCATCTCATTAATAATCTTTCCAACCCATTTTTTAAGTGGGACATTTTTTCTCTATATGGTATAAATTGACATTTTCAGAGAATGGAATTTACCTGTGAGCCTCTATGGCCACTTTAGTCTAGGATTCTCACCTTGAGGTCCTATATTTTTTCCTCCTTGACCAGGTCATCAGATAATGGTCAGTGAGTCTCATCACATGGTAACAGAAGGCTTGTACCTCTTCTTACCTGGGTTTTTAATGCTACAAGAACAAATCATGCCATCTGAGATGTGAGGGATTACCTGCCATCCTCTGCCTCCATGTACCCTGTCTGCTTAGTCACTAATGGTTGGGCGGGTGCCAGCTTCATAGTTACACTGTCTTCCTTAGCAGCTGTTTTCAAAGCAACACTAGAACCCATTCAGACTTCTCAGACAGCACACTATATAAACTGCTTTCACAGGTACTTGTGAGACTTATAAAGATGTATGTCTTAAAAGTTAAGGCACAAATAATATTCTTTCATTACATGAAAATCTTGTGCTGTAGTCCACTGAGTGCTTTGTCCAAACAGCTCCAGCATGGTTGTTTTATTGGGTTCTGAGACTATGTGTGACTCCTGGGATAGAACTCTAGAACACTTTTGGAAGAAATCCTTAAACATCTCCTGCATTTATTTTCTGCATTTATTTTCCATTATTTACATTTTCTATCTTCTGTGTTCGATGAATGATCTGCATGTTTTGTTAAACTAAGCTCGGTAAAACTGGACTTTATTTTTTCCAGCATTGTCAGCTTGAGTCATTATTGGGAAAATGTTCAATTGTTTTTAAAAAAAATCTTTTCAACACCATCTCTCCTTCTGTTCACATTTATTGTACATTATAATGTACAATAGTGTATATTATAATGTTCACTTCACCAAAAGGACTTAATTCCCTTTTTTAAAACATCATAGGATTTAAAATAAGAATTTTTTTCAAACTATCAACCTAGACTCTTTTCTTGCTTTTGTTCATGTGGTTATTTGACAGCTGGTTACTTATATTATCTTTAACTACAGGCATTTTGCAGAAATCAAAATCTTTTGTTTTTACATTTCAAAGCAATTAATGTTATCTACCTCATTGATTTCTATAAATATTTATTCTTAAAATTTCTGAAGTATTCAATTCCTCAATCATTTATACTATATTGTATTGATATTTACTACGGGGGTTGCTATATTCTAAATTATCTGTGTTCTTCTTTTCTAATGAAACAGATGCTAACACATAGACTACCATCATTTATATTGCCTATTTCAAACCTAATTATTTCAACCTAACAATTAAAAGCACTGAATATATTTCAAGCAGCACAATTAAAGTACATAGTATTTACTGCTTAAGTAGTTTATGTATTTATATATAAAACGCAATAAAGCCTAGTGGCTTTGTTTTCAGAAAAATAAAGAAAAAAAATCCCTAAGCACTTCCCTGGTGGTAAAATGCTTAGTAATGTGCTGCTCTATTTCCCTCACTCCTAGTAAGTTCTGTAGTAATAAGCAGAAGCTCTTCAGAATGTACACTTCACGGAAGCAGAGGTACCCAGCATCCCAGCTATTGACATGAGATTTGAGAATGCCAACTAACCTCAGGAGCATGACCAGGCTACACCGCCACCCCACCTGAGCCCTGTTCACAGACTCACTACTCCTAGGGACTTCTTGAATGAGATTTTTCAGCCCGCTTTTAATTTTCCTTGTTGCCTGTTGCCTGCTTTGATACTCTCCACCACTGGGACGAATAGGCAGGGTCCCGCATAATACTGGCAGTCAGCCCCTTGGCGCCTCCTTGTGGTTGGACTACTGCTGAGCTGCTGCACGCCTTGAATTGTTATGGCTTAGTTGCCATCTTGTGCCTGAGGCGAGAAATTGTAGAATGCTTATCCTATGAAGGGCTAAAACCCTAATTAACTATAACAATAACTACAGCATTCTGAGTCCTAGAGGATTACTGTGGGGTATGATGCCACACAGTTCCCTGGCAGGGAGCATCCGGTAGTTCACTGCATGCTGGGGCTATTTGAATAACTTGTACATCTGGTTCTAGAGGGAAAAATTCCCTTCCAGAGCAGTTGTGCAGGCTCCCCTGAGCATGGTCTTCAGCTGGGAATGTGGGATTGTATACTAAGAAAGATGGTCCAATCAATGACCATGGTGACCTTTTGGTTACTTTCTCCAAAGAGACCTACTTGTTGGTCTCCTGGGGATCATCCTTGGCATTCTTCCTAAAAATACTGTTACATAAATCTTCCTCAAAAATGATGCTTCTAAATGTCACAAGAAAGCAGGAAAATAATGGAAACTTTAATGTACCCATTAAGAGTCTATATTTTTAATCAATGTGTGTTTTCAATAACAGCTACTTAATCAGTTTGTCATCAAATCAAAATGCTGTGTTGATTTCCAAAGGGGAAATGAAGCAGAACAACTAATAAAAGTGGGCTTTTTGTGAGAGAACATAAGAACAGATCTTTGTCTTGTGGGGGAAAATGAATGCCTAGTTAAAAAGTTCTGGGTTAGGGTCTTATTTTTACCTTTCAGACAATTCTGACAAAAGAGAAAGTGAAACATTACATTTTCTCCAATTTATTGTGCAATATATTGAGTTTATTTTAAAACGGTTCTTGAAATTTTCTAAAATATTAGATTTAAGCAAATATTCATGTAGTTTAGAAGTAAAAAAGGGAAATGGCAACCAGAATTTATTTATACCAACCTTAAATGATTTGAATGGAACTTTACATTAAGATTCAGAGAACATTGTTCCCACTTTCCATGAATCCATAGAGATAATCCCAAAGTGTTTCATAGGGACAGTTTTTTTAATATATTTTATTGGAGCAATTTTTAAATATTTTGTTATTGTAAATAGACCATGGTGAATTGGATGTTGGTACTTTTGTTTTAGGATTTTCCTTTAACATTTTTAGAAATTGAAATGCTTTAAAAGTAACAAAATGAGGCTCACATTAAATAGTTGCATTGACTAATAAAAATTAGTATCTTGTTCATTTAGTTGGCATAGGAAAGAGATATCTTGAAAGTTTGAGAAAATAATTTAATATTTACTGAACCCAACCTTATATAGGAATTAGCCTCTGTTGGTTCCAGAAAAGATAAGATCAACTATAGTGAGGACTCTGTATTGATAGCTACATCTGCTTTTCCTTCACTAATCTAAATAAAGTTGCAGATAGGAGCATATGGTCCCTGAACCAGATCATCATAAATTTAAATTATGGAGCAGGTGTGTTGAAATCAAGAAGAAATCTGAAATTTTACTATTAAAAAAATTAAGAAAAGTAGGCCTTTGGGGCACTATCCCTTTGATGGATTTGTTTAAATAATTGAAGATTTTTGGATGACACAGAGAAACTAGTCTGAGAATAAAAAGATGCAGTTTTATGATGTTATTGTTGCTCTTGTTTAATGTAATCTACCATTTAATCACACATTTGTCAAGTACAGATAAACCTTCCGACTGATGGTACTGTCGTAAAGAACTCTTGAACTCACCTGACCTCATCACAAAACTGCCCAGCCTGTTCTCTGCATGTGCCTTCAGCTAGTCATGCTAGACTTTGCTGTGTCTGCATTTCAGAGGGAGCTGTCAGTTGCATGGTCAACTCGTTTATTGTTACCAGAACTCTCTGACCACCCCAGTTCATGAAATGATTTGTTTCCATGTAAACACACATAAAATGCGGTGCATTTTTAGAATATCATTTGTTAAGCAACTAGGCATGGAAAAATAAATGTTACTGTTTCTTGTTAGCTATAAAACACATATCCACTAAACACATTTGCTGTTGGCATGCTGCAGTTGGGGACAGTGGACATTGCGGTAAGTGGAAAAGACAAGGCCTCCACTTTGTCTCAGATAATCCTTATCCATGAGAACACTGCCTTCATCCCCCACAAGGGCTGCAGCATGACTTAGAAGAGCTGCTCTGGGTGACTCCCCCATAGACCCATTGCCCCATTATTTCTTCAGTCCCTGCTGAATCCTGGGCCTCTCACATTGATAACAGTGTTTTGCCTGCTAATAATTAGCACAGTTACTTAAAGAAGCAAGAAAACAAACAAAATGGAAGCATACTTCCTGCAGTTCATTTGATTCCCACAAAAATCCTTTAGTTATGTTGCTGTTTTCATCTCCATGTCAGAGATGAGATTCCAAAACTCATGTCTCTTTGGTTCAACCTTACCTTTACTGGCACATCACACCACATCTCTTGATTAGGAATGTGTGAAGATGCATTTGGGATTTTTGTTGTTGTTAATGCTTCCTTGAACCATCCACAACAATTTAATCCTGGCCAGGACCAGAGAACTGAATGTTTGAACAAATATAATTTACCAGTAGCTGCCACAGCAAATCAATAGCCTGTTTAATAGCAGGAAATTGTGTTAGTGAACATTACATCTCATTCTGTTAATCAGTCATCTCATTCATTATATGTTGAGGCTGTCCTATCCTGGTGGTTTTTGTCTCACACGAATGAATGTAAGCATAAAAGAAATGTAATGTTAAGTGTTGTATGTTTAGTATTGTGAATGCAGTGCTACCAACTGCTATGAGATTGCATGAATGTATGGATATCATAATCTTGCCTGGAATAAAAAATGCATGCTGAATGTAGGTATATATGTAACTGTCATCCCTGTTTTCCTGTAGAAATGTTTAGAAATTACAAAGAGATATGCTCTCAAACAAAAAATAAATGAAACTCTTTTTAATTTAAAAGTTGAGGCTAACGCTAAAATCACCTGACAGTTTTTAAAGTGAATTCCAAACCAGTTCTTGTTTATCTCCAGTGTAAGTGTGTACAAAATGTACCTGGTCGCAGTCATTTCTATGATGAATCCAAGAAGGGTGTGTATGCCTGTGGAATGAGACTGATCTCACGTAAATGCAAACATATTAAATGAAGCTCAAAATTTTCAATAAGGATAAAATACATTTCTGTGTTCCTACTTGCTGAAAACACTTTATCTATAGAAATACATGACCATATACAATTTCATCCAATTATGTACCCAAGTGAGATTAAAGAAATTGCTTGAAATGGAATAATCATGCCTCTGTTCTCCACAGTCAGAAGCTAAGTTTTAAGGAGCGAGTGCGCATGGCTAGCCCGAGGGGCCAGAGTATTAAGAGCAGACAAGCTTCAGTAGGTGACAGGAGGTCCCCAAGCACCGACATCACAGCCGAGGGCAGCCCCACCAAAGTACAGAAGAGCTGGAGCTTCAATGACCGCACCCGCTTCCGGCCCTCGCTACGCCTCAAAAGTTCTCAGCCAAAACCAGTGATAGATGGTAAGCTCTGCTTTTCCATGACCATTTTTAATTTGATAGGCAATAGTGAGTGAGATTATGAAGTAATTAATTCTCCATGGTACCACTTGAAGATAGAAGGAAACACTCCAGAGAAAGAAATTGCTTGTTTGTTTTGTTGGAAATTTATTCATTGCCTTGGGCAAGCATACAGAACATAAGTTAACTTTTGGAAGCGACTTTGGCAGTTAAATTCGCATTTCAAAGAAGCCACTGGACAGATCTGTAGTGCAGTGGTAGAGCTTAGCATAGGCAGAGGCCCCAGGTTCCCCCCCCCCCAACACCAACAACAACAAAAACCAAAAAAAGATTTTATTGATTTTTCACTTATATCTACAATCTATTTATTGTGAGATCAGCGTGGCTGTCTTTCTGACATATATTAAGTCTGACCAGCAAAGGCTTACGGACAACCTGGTGCTCTGAATATCCTGAAACATAGCAGAGTGTGACAACACCTTTCTAGTCAATGAAGAAGGTGCTCTTCCCCTTCCTCACCCTCACATTCTCCGTCTACCACAGGTCAGACCACTGCCTCTCTTCCTCAGAAAAATTTCTGCTGAAAAGTTCTTAAATTTCCCAATGATAAGTAAAAGTCAAGTTCTTCTCCCAAGTGCAATTAACCTACTTTATTTATCATATTACGTGCCAGACGTTTACTTGCTAACACACTTTATTGAGTGCCACATCATTTTCATGTTTATGAAACAAAACGTTTATTTTTCATTTAAAGATTAGCTTATTTTCCCTTTTAAGTGTGCCCTCTGGGATCTCTTATACTGGGCAAAGAACCAAAATCAAATAGCATCTGCCATTAATGCATAAAAAATGCAAAGGCTATCAGTCCTTCTGTTCTCGTTCCCTAGAATAACCTGTATTTTCCCAGGCCCTGAAGGCTCAAGGGATAAAATTAACAACCAAGGGTCATAATCAACAGTGATCTCAGGCTCCCTGCAGTGAAATCCCTGGAACCTCAGCCCAGGGCCCCATCCAGTTTACCCAGAGATCTTTGGGGATATGCTTCCACCTTCAAGTGAGTGATGCAAATCCCTTCTTCACACTTTTCCATTCTCCACAACCCCACAAGGGCTACACTCTCCAGACTCCTAGCTGCTGACCTGATGTGGTCCCTCCTGGCAGAGCTTGCAGCTCCCACCTCGACTTCAGTACATGCTGATCCTGCCGCGCTGCGCCTCCACCTGTTGCTTTGCTAAGGTGGGAAATGCCTCCTTCAACACTGGACACTCCTCCATCAAGCCACTTGGAATGCCCTGAGTCACTGGTGGCAGAGATTTTCAGTGTCCTCTAGTTTCTACACTTTCCTTCCTTGGAATTTGGCTAAAAGCCCTTAAGCAGCTGAGTATGGAGTTACTGGTGACAAGGCTTTATGCTGCACTCAAAATAGATCCACTGGATATAAATGGGTGCATCCTTTCCGAAGGTAATTCAGCAAAATATATCAAAGACTTTACAAATACCTGAGCCTAGACCTATCCCGCTTACCAATTCTACTTCTAGAATATAATTGATAGAATGTAATAATATCAGATATCAGAAAAGAATTATTCCATTTTTGCTTATATATAGGTATATATTGTGCATATAGATTTGTGTGTTTACAGGAAAAAGTCTGGAAAGACAACAATATATGAATACTAATCTTGAAGAGGTGAGATCCTAGTTACATACCATTTATTTGTTTTCTTCATCTATACTTCCTAATATTTCTACAATGAACATGTAAATCTTTTGTAATAAGAAAGCAAAAGGATTTTCTTTTGTTAAAATATAATTCTTCCTTGCACACACTGCCCTCTCACCCTGCTGTACTCTAGGGCCCTGGGACCAACCAATACTCTCAAACCCCCGTCCTTAAGCTGATTTTCTCCCATGTGGTAGTGGTGGAGACCAGCATGCACAGAGTGCAGTCATGGATTGTCAGATGAGTTTTCACATGTTCTTTTACGAATACAGTTTGTATGAGTTTGCTTGGACTTTTGTAACAAAGCACTACAAATGTGGTTGTTTAAACAACAGAAATTCATTTTCTCACAGTCTAGGAGCTAAAAGCCCAAGATCAAAGTGTTGGAAGAATGGTCCCATCTAAAGGCTTGCTTCTTGACTTTCAGATGGCCACCTTCTCTCTGTATCTTTACAGTCTTCCCCTTTTTCCTGTCTGTGTCCATATTTCTTCTTCTTAGAATACTAAGCATACTGGGTTCAGGTCCACCATAATAATTCATTTTAACTTCATTACCTTTTTAAATATCCTATCTTCAAATACAGGATCATTATGAGGTGCTGGGGATTAGGATTTCATCACATGAATTGGGGAAGGGGGTCACAATGCCTCCTGTGACAGAGCTCCTGCTCCCCACATCACAGTGTCCCTGGTAAACTGAGGTGCATCCATATCTTCACCCCTGACCCTGGGTTCATAATGTACTAGAAACACATTAATTATACATTACAATGGGTCTGTATTCTAAAGTCGGCTTCAGCAAACATTCAGCTCCTTGCTGTGACATCCTTACAGTTGGCTGAGCATATTCAAACATAAAAATTATAGAATATGGATTCTAAGCATGGAAAATGAATCCTAGTACTGTTTGACCAGAGGGAAAAAGAATTTCAAAGACTTGATAGAGTCAGCAGTATCCATCACAGTATTCCCAGTATCTGCAAAGATGTCTCAGAGGTGAGACATAAAAACAGATGTCTTGTCTCTACCATTTCACAAGTTGGAGAGGCCTCCTGTCACCCACTTTCTAGATCATTTCATACAAGTGCATTCTGTTCGGTTAGAAAGGAATTACTGTTCGCTGGCTGATGCCCATCTCGATGGATTCTGAGCTCCTCAAGTAATGAGAGGACTGACTACTGATCTGCCAAAGTACCTTCTGGCTGTCCACCTGCAGGAGATGGTGGCTCCTGACTGCTCATTTAAGCCAGTAGTCCAGAATCATTACCTCTGATATACATGATGTTGAGTCTTAGAACATTGGAAATCCTTTTTTAGAGAAAAGAAAAAAAAAACTGAAGTAGCTATCGAGTAAACGTAGACTTCAATTATACATTTTTATTTTTAGTGCCTCTCCAGGCTTTAAGTAGTTCTAAAATCCACTTACTCCCCTTAGAAAATAATACAGAACACTACAGTCAACTCCCAGTTATTCTAGGTCCTTTAGTTCATTCACTTCTGGAATTCTTTTCTTCTACTTCTCACTTTTCTTTATATATTTTTAGGCATTTAATTGCCCATTAGCATGCTCAAGGAGATTGGATGAATAAAAGAAAGAATAATGGAAATTCAGTTCAGCCTGCAAATTAATAACCAAAGCTATATTTCAAAAGTAATGGGCCTATAACCAAAAAATACTATAAAGGAAAAGAAAACAAATTCAGAGTTAATCTATAAATTGTAAAAATTCCCACTAAATCTGATACTCTTTACCATAGATGGCAGTATTTTGTAATTTAATGGCTCCTTCAAAAGCTTATTAGGTATCCATGTTGCTTTTCTTTGTTTGTTGTAACTTTCAATGAGATTACTATGTTACACTTTAAAAGGACACAGTTATCTCCTAATATTCCACACTCATGTGTATCAGAGAAGTAGAAAGTAGCAGGCAGATGATGGAAACCAGAAATGTACAAAGGACAAAAGAAGAAAGTTAACTTTAAGGACTGATGAGATATTACCATAGCAAATTTATTTTGATCAGTATGATATGATTGGTAGTTTTAGTTCATATATCCTGGAATAACAAACAGAAAGTCAATATTTAAGTATTTGAGCCACTTTGTGTAATTTTAGAAATTAAGTAGCACAGAAATGATATTTTATCATGAGTACATAAGAACAATAATGATAAAACTTTGAATCCTCTGTGACAGGCATGTTCTAAATGCTTTTTCCCTCTTATCTCATTTAATTTTCCCTGTACCCCCATGAAGTTGTGACATTATTATCCCCATTTTATGCATGAGGAAACTAAGACCTAAAGCCAAGTCATGTGTTCATGTAAAGGACCCACAGTGCACACCTGCCCTCCTTCAGGCACATTGTAAGTTGTGCTCTAGGCAGTCACATCAATTTCCCTTCGGCATCTTTCATTTCTTCTCTTCCTTCCTGCCCACCTTTCACTCTTCCATCTTCAGTTGGTCCAGATCCTCCATCTCATGCAAGCCATTTTACCTTGCTACTGCTCCACACTGTATTGCAGCCCCAGCTGCCATACCTCTTAACTGCATCATCTTCAAAGGATGCCAGAGATAGAAGATTAGGCAAATTGGGGAAGTGGCCTTTTGTTGACCCTTCTCTGTTTTGATCAGGTATCTAGGAAGAGATCCAGGATAATAGCTATGCTGGTCTGTGTCCATTTACCCAGGCAGGGAAACAAATGATGAGGTTATCTGAGGTCTGTTTCAAGATGCAAAAGGTAACAGTGGGAGATGGACAGCTGTTGTCAACAGATGAGCAAGTGGAAGGTAGCAGATAGCAAATAAGAAATAGCAAGCCAAAATCTACATGAGTGAAACCAAGGTAGAGCTGGGGAAAGTTTTCAGATTCCGGGTGACTAGTTTGCTATCGAGGAGAGCTATACTTTTCAGAACCTGCTGCACGTGGGAATGCCTTTCAGAACAGCGCTTAAAGAATTCAATAACTTGGATAGAAAAGAACGAGGTGGTAACTTGAGGTAGGTCCACTCTGTAGTGCTTAGTAATTTGATATTAACTTGAGAGTTCTAGAGTAATTAGCATCTGTTAGTTCCAGAAATGTCCATAGATTTAAAAATATAACTCACACATAGATTTAAAAATGTAACTCACCAGTTCTCCACCCCCACTCCATCCCTGGTACTAGGGATTGAACCCAAGGGCTCTCTAACACTGAGCTATACACCACCACCACCCCCAGCCCTTTTTATTTTTATTTTGAGACCAGGCCTCACCAAGTTACCCAGGCTGACCTCACACTT